ATTTGACTGAGTGTAGCCCTTTGTTGAACAGTTTTTTTTTTTAGGAATTTAAAACGAGGAAACGCAGATCATTTTGTACGTGTTGCCGTTTTGTTATTGGCCTGTATGGAAGTGATGAACAATCTATCACAAACCAAAATTACAACAGAGGGTTTAGAAAACAAAGTTTTGATCTCTATGAATGATCTTTTTTACATATATATTTTATATAACACTACGATAATTTCCAGATGATTGCAATTACAACAACCTTACGCCTGTACTCGAAGCACTAATAACCTGGCATATGTAAAAAGTTGTTTATGTTCAAAACACTTGTGAATATGTCCTTGTGACTCTGACACAATGCCTAGATTGCAGGCAGCTACAAATTAGGTTTTTGATAAAGGCAAGAAAGGAAAATCATCCAGCTACTGAAAGAAGGGGCTACGTGGGAATGAGAATTTTAACTTCTGTTATTTGTCTATAAAGAGAACTCTGCTAGGGGAAACGGGCAGAGAAAGAAAAAGGAGAGAAGAACTTTTTCTTCCCCTCATGCTGCTGTATGGTGCCTTAACATCAGCTGAAGCAAAGGCCTGGTGATTGCTTCTTTCAGCTCCATAGCCTGGACTCCCATTCTCTTCCAATCTCCTGAAGAGGGGTTACCCTCACCCTTGTGCCTTCAAAAGCCATAGAACAGAGAAGGCCCACATTTCAAATATAGATGTAAGATAAAAGGACGCTCTGTGAAGCATGATATGGAAATGTATGGATGGCACCGTACTCCAGTGGCTTGTATAACTGCCTTGGGGCCCAGCGTTCAATTTTTGGGGCACTATCTGTGAGGAGTTTGCACGTTCTCCTCATATTTGTGTGGGTTGCCTCTCAGGGCTTTGGTTTCCTCTCACAGTACTGGTAGTTTCATTGGCTTTTGGGGAAAATTGTCCCGTGTGCATGCGTGTGCCCTGCACTGGACTGGTGTCCCACCCAGGATAGGCTCCGGCTCCCCCATGACATTGTATTGGATAAAAGGATTACAAAGTGGATAGACATGGAAACTTCAGTCCAGTCCTGCGATTAAGACATTAAAGCTTAAGTACAAAATGTCCTGTGGCACAAAATATTACATCAGATATTTTTGTTTAGTAATGCTTAGAGGTCATTAGCTTTGCTGGTTCTTAGAGGCAAGTACAGAAATATCAGTAAAGGTTACTTTGCCTCTGATGACCCACGGTGGTCCTTGAACAATTGCAGAGTACACTGAAATACCGTAGGTATCAAATGGTAGCACTTCATCCTATAGGCTTTAGGAGATTCACAATATTTCCCAATTAACCTCAAGGGCTGAAAAGAACACCTGTCCAGTGTTTATAGGTGCTCATTAAATGTTTACGAAGTTTCCTGTGCAGCTTCCAGCAACAAGGTAAAATTGAAACCAAACATTCAGACTTCAGCGAGGGACAGGATGGGACTTGGAGAGAGAAAATGTTGCAATAGAATTTAGAAAACTAGCTATTCTGCAAGTCTGACTTTGCTGAGCACACCATTATGAACAGGTGACACACGAGTTCCGTTTTCTTTACTAATTTGGTGTAAATATTTGGCATCCACATTTTTATGGAGAAAAGTAAATGTCTTTCTGTAAATGCGATGCAATCCTCGATAACAATATTAAAAATACAGAAGAATTTTTTAATGCTAAAAATTGAGAACAAAACATGATTTACCCATACTGTGTATGTTTGGTATTATACAGCATTAATATTTTCAACATAAGTAACCTGAACCTGAAAGAATTTCAGATGTGCACTAAAGAAATAAACGTTGTTCCCAAAACTGCACTGAATTACGCAACTCAGAATTACATAAAGACTAGTAAAAGAACACATTCTAACAATTAACACGTTCTCAATAATGTTTTCATTTCAGGCACCTGCAGTAAAGTGAGAACTAAAGTGACTATGTCTTACTGCTTCTAAGAAATGTTTTTACAGACTGCATAGTACATCCAAAACGCAACTTTTGTTTTACTGCCACTCCTTTTCTATAATGCATTAGAAAGGTATGCTTGACTTTACTTTTAATTATGCAAGAGAACCATAAATGATTACAGAAAGTTTTGAAAGAATGTTGTCTAACAAATGTTGTTGTGATTTGCTTAACAGGTCAAACATGAATTGAATTTGTCCAAAATATACATAAGGAATTTGAAGAGCTCCAACTTGCTGAAATAAATAAATGGAAGTTTCCCATTTTACAGTGCCTCTATTCATTATACTCTGTTTCCTGCGTGTAATGCACTGCAGGGAGCAGTGGTCCTTAAACAAACCACTGTATTATTCCACTTAATAAACTCTCAACATTCTCAGGACTGCCCTCCAAAGATGAATACTGATCACTGCTTTGCAGTCTTTCATTTATTTGCTCTAGAGATGAATTTGTTAGGTGATCCGTTAGGCGATACAAGCAGAATATCCTCTCCTCCACTGCCTTCTGGTCTTTTCTGTTCTGTATTCACAGCATGTATGGTCACTTGCTTTGTCAAGCGCCTGGGGCAACCTTGTTGTGACAACCAATTCATTCTTTCATTCCATGGCTATCCTTTTCATTTTAACAGTGAGCCAGATGTTCACTTACTGTATGTTGTTAGCAATCAAATTCTATAAAAAACAAAACCACCACAAAAACATTTATGCTAATTTTAAAACCACAACTCTCTTAAGTTTCCTGATGCAAACTCTTGGAAAGTATGTGAAAAATGTACACTATTTAAATGAATATCCTTGAGCATTTGAGTTAAAAGGGTATTGTTAAGTGGAATTAAGAATGAGCCAATACACATTTTTTGGTAGAAAATAACAGTTTGGCAGTTAACTAGTTAAGTACTGCACAGTACTCAAACTCAGTACTCACTGAATAGTACTCGGTACAAATATTCAACCTTTCTTTAAAAGCAAACTGACATAAAATATATTACACATATATGGTATTTTCTTGAAGCTAAACATCAACTGATTTTTTAAAATCAGCGTTTGTTCAATCTTCCATTCTAAAATACATTTGATTGTATTGTTACCTACAGTATTCCTCACTCTACACAATACTGCAATGCATCAGTGTGGTAGCTCTAATGATACTGAAATAAACAGACCAAAGGATTTTTTTTTTGCTTGGTGTTTCTTTATAAGTTCTTCTAGCTCAAGGACACCTTTGGTGTCAGCCCATCCTTGGTATCCTGGGGACATCCTGGGAGCCATAGGCAAAAAGCCAGGCACTCACAAAGCCTGAGAACTAACATTGAACGTACAATAAATTAATTACATAGAGTTCAATGTTCCATGAGTCTTAACTGATTGCCTTACGGTACAGAGGCAGGGAAGCAGTCCAACAGAGCCAAGCAAAAACGCCAACAGTCAGAAGTGCTCATTTGTGATCACTCATCTCTGCATATAACCCTGCGGCAAACCACAGGACCCTGCCTGACACCTTTTGACAAAATTAAAGCAGGCTGTCATCTAGACCGTGATGATCAAGACTACTCAAATATACACCACATTTCATTTGCAACTTCCATGACAAACAGATCATGTGAAAGCCCTAATTGGAAATGGCCTCAAACACAGAACAATGAAAAGAGATATGGTGACACGCAAAGTCAGCCCTTTAAATCGCATTGTTACACTTACTTATTTTCAGTTCTCATCTATGGGAAAATGTTAACAACCACAACATTGAAAGCTTTTTACCAATTTTAAGCACACTGGACCAAATATTTCTCGGAAGACTGAGATGGGAAATTATGCAGTCCTCAGTATCAAACATCTGTTTAAAATGTTATTTATACTGTATAGTGCATCACTAAAATGCTTTTTAAAATGTTTATTAGCAAAGTTTAACTATTCAATAGTCATTTTGTCTTGTGCTGTAGAATCAGAACTCTTTACGGCCAGAGTTTTTTAGGCAATAATGTAATGATGTGGTATGTTTATGAAATTATAAGCTTTTAATGTATTTAAAGGCTTTTGGATGAACCATGCAAGAATCCTTTGGTAAGATGTAATACAAACAGCTGGGAGTAGGTTAATTCTTGCAAAATTCATTAGCATTTCACACACTCACAATAAAATGCGATGCTATCATAGGGGTAAATGACCATCCCAAACCTCTGTGATCATGACCTTTTTTTTTTTGTGTGGTTCAGCTGAAATCATACCTCTCAGCAAAGCTTGGAATGGCGTGTGGTGCTTCAGATCTTAAAGGTCTTGAACTGTGTCCTAAACTGTTAAAATCACTTTTTCTCTGCCACGATTTGAAGGTTCCACATGCCAACAGCTTTGGTTGCATTTGGAGTTAACTAAATTGGTAGAAAGTCTGTAGAAGCTGTGAATTTCTACACTCAAGTATCTTTTATTATTATTAAGACATTTGTTGTTTTAATCTGTATGCATTAGCATCTGCTTATATGGTGTATTTATTGCACCTGAAAGAAAAACACAAGTTGGAGGTATGAGATATAACAAGAAACATAATTCTTTGTATTTACAGTATATAGAGCTTCACATATAGAAGACCTACTTCTGTCTACCACCAGATCTACCACTGAGGTGCAGCAGCTACAGAAATATTGTGTTCCAGCAGTCCCGCTACACTGCACATCACGTATGGAAGTGAGAAGCTGCTTCACCACCTGAATGCCATTTACCTCTACGACGAGTGTATGACAACAGAACGAACAATAAAAAATAATTAGCATAATTAGCACTGCATTTCTCTTAGAAGTACTCTTGGAACAAGTGGTTATTGAAATTACTGGCTCCAACACCTGACTCTACTTTAGAATAACTAAGCCCTAATCAGTTATTTGGGGAATGTGGAACATCACATTTTGCAAGCAGTTTAAATGCATATTTGCCATTTCCCTGAAGAAAGCACAACAATCTTGGTTAATAATCAAATTGACTTACAGAATCCATGTTTAAATACATTGCTTTATAACATATTTATCAAATCTGCCTGCTTACCCATGTCTGATCTGTAATCGCTGATACCAGGGTAGAGATTTGGTTTTTGATCTAAAACATCCAAAACACAAATGTTATTTTTCTTGAATAAAAGAAATAAAAACTGCTTAGTCTCTAGAGTTCACAAGATGCAATGTGGGATAAATTGATAGATAAGCTATGGGGTAAGCTATGGGAGCAGTGTGTGTAAATACTGTATACAATTAAAACAAAAGGCTGCAGGATTATTGGTGGGCCAACTGATAGTTTACCTTGGTTTAATTACATGCAATTGTTTCATACTGTGACTGGATATTTGTGTATAAAAGGCTGGAACAAACACAGGTGCAAAGCTTTCTTTTTTGTAACCTTTCTTGCTGGCGGAGTGATCATTTGTTGGAAGTTTAGAGAACTCAAGATTTCAGAGAAAAGGAAATCAACAAAAACATAAAATTACGTGACAGGTAAACTACTGTATTATCTGAAAGAAACATGGTATTTGTCAGGGTTATGTTTTCAGAGTCAGCAGGTAGATTTGCCTACAGAATGATGAAAGGAGTACAGTTAGGACTTCATATTTCATATTTCAGTGTTCTTGAAATTTGCATTCTTCCTACAAATACATGCATCTCCACACCAGCACTAAACCTGAAACACCTTTTTTCTTAGGTTAAAGGAAGCCAGCCTTCTCCACAGCAACCCAGAAGCACAATTTACACAGTTATCTATATAATATCTACATACATTATTTTCTAAGGAAACACTTGTTCAAACAGTGCAATTGCAGTTGCTGTTAATGTTTATTTACTGAGTATTACCTTGTGGTCTCTGATTCACTGATGATCTCTGTGACTGTGGTCTTGATAGAGGTCTTTCTGGGGGATTATTCACCTGAAATGAGACGGCCACAAGTGAGTTTTTAGTTGCTTCACACAATTGCAATTCTAAACAACTAAGCAGTTATCTGGTGTTCTTTCACTATAATTCCTGTGTATTTCTTCTAAATAACAGTATACTTCAACTTTGCACACTAAATCATATTCAGTGCCATCATATGCTTCTCCTTTTTATACAAACGATATAGGGACGCCTGAATAATTTAGTTGACTGCATTAACCTCCACAGACCAAAATTCATGAGGACAGATTTAGACTGGCATCATTACCATGTTTTAAAGTAAATTCCACACCATAAAACCTACCTCCCTGCAGATTTTGCAATAGGTACATTCAAACAATCAATTCCCCAGTTTTCTTCCCAAGCCCCATCCATTAATAGAGCTGAAAAGCTGCAACTATTTTATTTGTATATGAAACTCTTCCCTTTTAGTAATTAGAACAATCTAGAGAGTTACCGTACATTATGGCTGTTTCCTGTGAACAATTCTTAGCTTTTAAAAAATATCTTTTCCTCATTAATGGTGAGAAATTATGCTATACTGGACGTGGATGAAGGTGCAAGCTATGAAAATATTGACCTTATACCTCTTTGGACTTCACTAGTCAAAATGTTGCCTTCTTGCAATAACTCTTACGGAACATTCATTCTTGAGTTGTGAACTTTAGACAGTCACCATTATCATTTTGTCCATTACCTTCGAGCTACTGACACTCTACCATACACTCTTTCTCTGCCCCCTTTCAGGGTCCCTGTTTAGCAAGAACTTGACAACTACTTAGCTATTAAGCAATAGCTGTGTCTGCAGCTTCCTGAATGTGCGTTCTTATATGGGTTAACATTCTGGGAAGAAACTGAAATAACATCTAATGAGGTTTATTAATACAATCTATCGTATTTTACAGCTCTAAAGAGCTGAACCCACTTGCTCTAGATGTCCGTAGATTAAATAATGTGCAGGTATTTGGAAAAGTTAGCTTCTTTGCGTCTATGAAGCCTTGACATTTGTAATTCTTCTATAGCTTTTCTTTCCTGGTATTAGACAGTTCTGTGAAGTTATGCTGATCTTATGCTATTAGTTGTCTGTTCTACAGCTTTTAAGAAGATATTATATACATGTGATCATGTAGCTCCTCCATATCTGATTATATAACTCAAATCCCACAGACTTCAATGGGGAAAGAGTCAGTTCTGATTGGGGTGGGATGACGCTCAAAGCAGTTAAAATCTGGCAGCTATATGGGATTTAGAAATAGCAGTCCAGAAAAGGGTAGGATAGTACTACTATACTGTGTTCGTTTGTTTTTTTCTAATTTCTTTACTTACATCATGACTAAGTCTGAAAGAACACACGGTCATCACATCTCAAGAAAGGAATCCAACTGACTTAAAGCCCTCACTAACAAACACACTTCAATGGAGAAAACAAAATCAGTGAATAATATTGTTTCAGATAAATTGTCCCAAAATCTAACTGTGCAATTATTTATCCATGTCAGAAGATGCATGTTGAGCAGCTGAAAGCACCAGCTCTGACGCATTGCATTTTGTTTAATCAGGTTTAAGCAAACACTTACATTTGTTTGGCAACCATTCCTAACAGTTTAGTGGCACAATGCTGCAGCTGAACTTTATTATACAATTACCACCTCGTAAATATGCTATCCATATCCAAAAGGAAGTTAACTTCTTGGCATAATGTGCATGCCTTTGTTTCCTAATATCTTTTGCATGTTTTCAGTACTGGGTGGAGAACAGATGGGTTTACACTCATTATGTGAGCATGCTTTAATGCCCAGGAATTGTGTTAAACATAGGACCTTCTAATAATCCTTGGTTGTTCCGTGTATTCTCAACTGCAAAATGCACATTTTGAGTCACTGGAGACAGAACAAAAAAGGGTCAGCTGGGTTTTCCCACCATCCATGCATTAGGCAAACCACTGCATATGAAGCAATCTACAATCTAGAATTACCCTTCCTTTGAAGTGAATGTCTGAGGTGGTCTCTAAGGTAGTGTTACTGCCTGGTACTAAAATACTCCCCAGTGTGGATCCGAACCTTGTTTATACTTATTACAGTGCATCTTCAAAGCAGCCAACAACATTTATTTGAAGTACATGAATTTCAGTGAGTCTGCAAAGTAATCTCGTAAAGTAATACACAATTACGTATCATGAATTCCCTTGATTTCAAAGCATGATAAGAAATCTTGTAGCAATGTTCACACCACACACAATGAATGCATGAATGTGTTGTACAAACCTTACGTGAGGCTGCCCTCAAGTTCTTACGTTGCCAATCAGTTGTATACTTCTCAGTGTAGACCTCAAGAATTTCATAAAGATTACTTGCAGCTGGGGGTGGCTCCACATCACCATTCAAAATGTTAAAGGCACGGATATCTTGAGCATAAAATCTATCAGAAAAATACAATTAGAAATATAATCTAATAACATAGGTTTAAAAATTAGGTCCCTGTAAATTTCTGGTTGCAATGTAATATAGAAGATATGTCAGTAATGATGATGACCTGATAACAGAAGTATTTTTCCAATGAGCTTCACTTCTGTGTTAAAGCTATAATCATTTTCAAGAAACGGAACAATGTGAAAATGTGGCTCATATTGCAGCCTCTCAAACATTAAAAGCCTTTGTTCAATATAAAAAGCTTTTGTTCAACGAACATTACTTCAGAAAACTGATGGACAATACTACAACACTGTTCATTACACAGTAATTCCTTTATGACAACTGTTGGAGATCACCTACTTCCTGTTGGTTTCTCTCCTTTCAATTAGATAGGATCCTTCCAGGGAAATGCCAGCAAATAACCCTCGTGACTTGCAGTATGTGTACACAGCTGCAGTACTTCTTAAGGCAACATCTGCTTCAACATTTCTGTAACATACATGCATGCATGTTAAGTTAGGAAGTCATTCTCCTTTGGACTTTGGTACTGTACTTTATATTCCTCTATTCGACAGGACATCAAGGAGTCCACAGATGTGGGGAAGCCTTTTGGCTCATTGAGGTGGAAGTTTAAGAACAGCCTAGGAGGTAGGAGGACACCATGACACCAGGTAGGTGAAAATCCAAGCTCCAGTCCCAGTTTGAGACCTCCATTAAAAAAAAATACAGATCTCATAAGGAACGTCTGATTACACCAGAAATAACACTTTTGGGATTCTGCTCTTGCTCAGTCAAAAACACCAAGTATTAAATACATTTTAAAAAGCCATGTTTCATTTTTTTTCTAATCTTACATACTTGAGGGTTTTCTAAGTTAAATGTGATTTAAAGACATTTAGCAGAAGATAATAATAATGAACTTCATTTTAAAAGGGGACTTCTCAGTGCTTTACAAAACAAAAACATATACACATGCAAAATATATACACAATGAGAGGAGACAGTAGATGGTTACTTTAATGTAAAGTTTATAGCCAGAAGCAAAGGTTCTTCAGCACTACAAACAATGTTATACACTTTTGATAAATCATGGCTACTGAGCCCTAGTGGTTCTAATGTCACACCAACAGCATTTTTTAATCAGGGAAAGAATGTCATCATGTACACAGTTGAGTCAACTTCACAAAAGATCACCTAACACCATCATGTTGCAAAGTCCTCTATTTTCTGTGCTGGATAAGAAGATGTGAAAATTAAACTCTCCTGAAAAGTGTTTCAGCTTCATAGCACTGCCTGGGTATCTCAGCATTTAATTAAAGGCAAACTGGTCATTTTAACAGGAGTGCAGAGAACTGACTTTGTATGACTTTGCCTGATGGCTTGAAGATAAGATTCTGTTCAAGACACTGTTCCACAATAAAAAACATTTTTTTACTCCTTTCAAGATTCTTTTAAATACATTTAGCACTTTTAACTTTCATGTTCTACTTCTGAATAAATTATTTGCTTATTTTATGGGCTGTTTTTGTTTTGTAATTTCAAAGCCAACTCATGCTCTTTTTAATGTGCCCTTTGGACCAATATGCTACCTTAATAGCAAATAAATAAGATGGTCTTCTGTTGCTTTTAAGATTTCTTACGTTAACCTCAGCAAAGGATGCAGAGAAAGAAGAAACCACAGACTAAAAATCCTTTTTCTTTATTTGTGACTGTTTTTTGTCTCGATAGTTTTGCAAAGAACTTTGGCACTCATACTGTTGTTCTCATTTATTTATTCATTTATTCTCATTTCTGGCATGTTTTATTCCATTGGATCATTATAAAAGACTTTCATGGTGTTGAGCCTATATATTTAAAAAAATATGGAATTTGTAAGTGAAACATTACCTTTGTTTTCTTTCTTTTTTTAGAGTTTCTGACACACTTAAAATGCATTATTTTGCATTCTTTGATCTAACTTCAAAACAAAAGAGGAACAGATGTTTCCAGAATTCATATGCAGCAACAGTATGAACATTCTTTTACAATAATGATCTTACAAGAGCTATACTCTTACCAAATTGGTTAAAGCAATGTGCTACAAATGGCACTATTGCATTGAATAGCAATATATCATAGGTATTCGCACCGATTTACATTTTCAGCATCATTTCAATAGATTTAAAGCCTAAGCTACTGTATAAGAAATTATTTATCAAAACCATGAGTCAAAGAACTGACTGTTTGCTCAGGCTTAAAATAAAACCACATGTTCTTCAGTATATTATCCAAAACACATTAGAAAGGGGAACTGTTCTATTGAAATCAGCTCTGTAGTTTAATGCTAAATTAAAAATAACAAATACATAAAACCCATTTAAGCACTGATACTTAAATCTACTTAACTTTGTCTGCCTTCCACGAAGGATAGCTAGAATTAAGAAGAAATATTCTTACCTCCCCAGGGGTCCAACTGCCACTGTACAATTCCCTCCTAGTGTGAGGTTACCCCCTTTCCCAAAAGCTTCAATTGCTCTTCTGTGATTCAAGATGATGACCAAATCTGACACCTGTCAAAAAAATGTTATTACTTTTTATTCTGATAAAAAGTGAAATACATGGGAAATTATTATATCAATATGAATATCAGATTAACAGATTTTTGCAAATTGTATTTTGAGAACGACTGCAAATGTCAATAGTTTTTTCTGCGTTTTTGACACTTTTTGTAGGTTCTAAAATTCAGAGGTAGTCATTCTATATTATTATGTCTTTAAAAAGTGTCATTATGCTTTAATTTCCACTTAGCCTTACTGACATTGTATTACGGCAGAACAGTTAGGTCTAATCAGGGGAAAGCTAGCAATCTGTATGGAAAGGCTTTCAAAAACAGTACAGCATCTTAATAGACATCACACTCCATAACTTCCCTTTCACTGAAGAAATTGCAGCATTATTCAAAAGTTTGGAAAAGCCAAACAGTAGGAACAGCAAACAGCAGCGAAAAACGTAAATTATCTCAGTACAATCAATAAAACAATAGGCTTTTCCAAACTTTTTAATAAACACTTCACATAGTAAAGATTTCCACATTCCAAGCACTAACATTTGCTCAAAAACAAACAAAACAAATTGAAGAAAAATCACAACACGGATTTACAGATGAGACCCATTTTCCCAAGACACACATGGTTCTATTTACTACCGAGGCGCACATGATTGTTAATTTCTAAGAAAAAGCTGCAGCACAAGAATAATTGTGGAAAACAAATTACAAGTGACCCCTGAAGGTGCCTGGAGTGCCCTGAAACATGTTTATGAAAGTAAATCAGCAAAAGAAAAGCATATCTATGCTATAACCCATAACCTTAAGAGATACTGCAGGTACAGCAGTTTTAAAATATTAAATGCATGAGACCAAGGGATGTTATGGTAAAATTATATAATGCACTATAAAAGCCTCTTCAAGAATATTGTGTACAACATTACAAAAAGATTCTGCTGATGTAGAATATGCCCTGAGAACAGCAAGTAGATACATTCTTGGGCACTTGTACACTAACAGGATAAAAGACCAGAACCTTTTTTAGTCTTGAACAGAGAAACTATGAGGAGACCCAATTTAATTCTTCAAGTCCTCAAAGGAGTTGAAGTAGTCACTCCTATGGACTTTTTTTTTTTACAATCAGCAGGGAAACACAAGTGGAAGCGATTTTGAAGTACATTTGAAATAGAAAAACAGGAGGTTTTCTTTGTTTTACACAAAGGGTTGTGGGAAAAGTGGAATAAGCAACTAGCCATACTGTTGAAACCGATATCCTTGAGTCTTTTAGGAATGGCTGAATGGCTGCCTCCTGTTTTTGCAACTTTTCTGATGTTAATATATTCCTATGACTGGAAGAAACACATGGAATCACAACCACAATTTATTTCAGACTGAAAGACGATTAACCATACAGTATGGCTTCCACAAAGAAGCTCTCTTGAAACCCTTAAAATAGTATAACATTTACATTTCAAGACCGTATACCCACTGAAACATAAGTGACTGACAGACTCCACAAACGTCGGATTTGATTAGTCTAAAAGTTGAGATTTGTGAAAGGTAGACTCGACACAGAAAAGGAATGATGCAACATCATGTTTCCATCCCACAGTAACATTTTGAAGGGTCTTAAAGTATTTTGGGCCCAAATTTTCAAATGAAGAATAACTAAATTCTTCTGTACCTAAAAATAGAGCTCAAATTACAGTAATAGCTCAAAGGCTGAGTTTTCAGCATGACTATTATACTTTTTAAGAGTAAAGAAAAAAGGATGAGCTTTGAAATGCATGTTAGGAGACAAGGAACACTGAAGTAATATGCAAGCAGCATAACAGCATGCTTGCAAACAAACAAGCTTAAGCCAGGCTGGGCTAATGCAAAATAACTCAAAGTGTTGTACTTGCAGTAGCAGGAATTAAAACATTACAACCTTCTTCATTACTATCAAATTCCTATATAAACACAGTGTATCAAGTGTAAAAGACAAGTGTGTATGTGCACATACAGTATCTCTTAAATCATGCTGACAGGGGTGTTTCCACCAACAGTCTTTCATCACCAGAAGAATCTAAAAAAATAATTGACAGTTGACGACTACTTTTTATTTCATCACAGGAACATGACACCAGGTTTGGAACCATTCCCATGTTAATAAACTAAGTTGTACCCCTTTTGTCATCTTTGCATGCGAGACTGCTTCCCTTAAGCTTTCGTGTAAGACAACAATTATCATACATAATATCGCGATTAAAAACAGAATTATGGCAGCTAGTGTATTACATGTATATGGATGGCCTGAAAACTTGAAAAAAAGTATATTCAATTCCTTAGAGTTCTGAAGCTGTACATGTGCAATAAAGGGCAAACAAAAATGCATACTTATCATGACTTACACACATCTAATCCACATATTGCAGTATGTTGACATTTAAAAACATGTAATAACAATAATAAGTTCCTTACATTTACAGTATATAGCACTTTTCTGGACACTCCACTCACAGCGCATTACAGGAAATGGGGACTCCCCTCCACCATTACCAATGTGTAGCCCCCACTTGGATGATGTGACTTGAGCCAGTGTGCCTACTCTTTTTGAAAAACGCCCTGGGATTTTTAATGACTACAGAGAGTCAGGACCTTGGTTTTACGTCTCACCCCAAGGATGGCGCCTTTTTACAGTATAGCGTCCCCGTCACTATCCTGGGACATTAGGACCCTCACAGACCACAGGGTGAGTGCCCCCTGCTGGCCCCACTAACACCTCTTCCAGCAGCAACTTTAGATTTTCCCAGAAGGTCTCCCATCCAGGTACTGACCAGGCTCACCTCCTAATGTTATGATGATATGGCTGCTAGCTACCATACTGTGTAATATGAGGATTGACGAGATAAAGGCGATGGGGCCTCATTTGCAAGTAAGATACAACATGATGAGGCTTATACAGAAATAAGCCTATACATAAAATACAATCCTTACTGCACAAGGACATTAATGAGGCCTTTACTGTATCCGTTAAGAACCAAATTAATAACACTAGGTATTTAAAACAGTAGAACAGAAACAGCAATGTCATAGGACATCTTCAATGGCTCCCCGTTACCCTGCACATTCAGGGAAATATTTTACAATTAACTTTCTAAAGCCTTATGCACCAACTCCTTACAAAACTGAGCATCTCTCCTTCTTCCCTGGGTACCAATCAGGGTTTTACACTCAGCCGAAGCACATCATTTAGTACCTTTTTACAGGTAAAAGCATCTCAGTGGCACATGACATAAATATAAATATAAATATTAATCCTTATTCTGCAACATTGAAGTTCTTGCCACCATGCAATAAGTCACTAATCCAATCAATAGAACAATTTTTGATTATTCAAATTTTTAATGCCAAATTTTTCAGGGCACAAAACACATTTCCAGGGTCATCTGGTGTACTACAGTTTGAGAATGACTGCTTTAGTGCAAGCGAATTCTGCTACTACGGCTTATTAATTTGAAATATTTTCATGAAACCGACACACACAGGGAGACAATTTTTTTGAGACACCCTTTCAGGTATTGCATAAAAAGAGCAACCTTATAATCCACAAAAACGCACTCATAAAAATCAACGTTGTTAGGAGCCCATGTTTCTCATTTGCTTACAGTGCCTAGCGAGCAGGTAGGGCCGCTTTCACGTCACAATTCACACAAATCTCCCTTTTGTTTGTGGAGAAACCAGGAGTTTGCAATATAGCAACCATACAGTACTGTCAAATATTTCACGATTTTTATTTGACACAAAATTTGTCAAATTTTGTGATATGTGTCAATTAATTTATTTGGTTACCAAAATGTAATAACTAATCTGAGAAATGGGACTGAAGCTCCCCTTTAGTCCTGAACCCTCCGTTATTACATTTATTTTCAGTTCCCAAACCTCGACCTATATCTGGGACTGTCTGCAGGGGGAAAGAACAAAATGAGATACGGATTGGATACAGTGTCTTGCCGCAAACATTTCTTAAAATCATTATAATGGGGCGGAGTGGTGGCAGTGTGGCTAAGGATCTGCACCTGTGGCTGGAAGGTTGCCGATTGAAATCCCGAGGCCAGCAGAGGAATCCTACTCCGTTGAGGCCCCTGAGCAAGGCCCTTAACCCCAGCTGCTCCAGGGGTGCTGTACAATGGCTGACCCTGCGCTCTGACCCCAAGCTTCTCTCTTCCTGTCTGTGTGCCTGTGTGTCTCATGGAGAGCAAGCTAGGGTATGCAAAAAAAACAAATTCCTAATGCAAGAAATTGTATATGGGCAATAAAGTGATCTAATCTTATGTTATTATACTGTAAGTACATTACACCGAGCAAAACCAAATCAAAACAATTAAAAGTAGTAGTAAAATACATTAACCATGGAACTATAGGATATTGAAAAAATATTTTAAAACAATTAGATAATTGATAAAATTAGATAAAAAAGTAAAGCTACAGCTGATTTGGTAACGAATTAAAAGTTTACTTAGTTAAGGAGGGAACAAGGCTTACTGTTTTACCCAAAAGATTTGGGAGTGCAGTGAATCATCCTCCTACAGAGGCTTCAACAAACCTACAGAAAATAAGTCATTGGTTTTTATTATCTAAGGAAATCTGATGTAATTCATACAATTGGTTCTCGCCTAGCTTGGCAATTTCTATTGCAACCTCTGCAACTTTTCAGCCTGCGCATTTGGAGGTGATATATCATAAAATCATCAGGATGGCCAACTTCGGGAAGGCAGTTGTACTTGTCTGTATTGATTTTTTAAAATTAAGTTTGCAGAGGAAGAAGTCCACCACTTATTAGTGTGGAATACTTCTGGACAAGACAAGTTATTTTTCTTGTCAAGCAATTATTTTCACCTTGCTGTGAAGCTCTTTTTATTTTTTTACAATTTAAAGCCAGAAAGCCTAATTTCATATATCATAACTTTGTGGATGATATATAATTCAGCATTGGTATGTTTTCAGCTTATTGCTTATTATGGTGGACTTAAATGCAAACTC